ATATAAATATATTTGTATTTATATATTCTATATTTATATATTTACACGGATATATATTTATTTGTATATAAATATAATTTATTTGTAAATTATTATCAAAAAATTATAGTAGTTTAGTGGTTGGAGTATCAACCTTCAACTCTAAAATACTTGGTTTCGATTCTTGTTAGTGACAATTCTCTAACTTAAGTGAATTTTTGGCTGAAAAAAAGAAAAACACTTTCCGAGAAAATATATATAAATAAATATATATTTACACCGATATATATATTTATTTGTATATAAATATAATTAATTTGTAAGTTATTATCGGAAAATTTAGTGAGTGGAGTATCAGCTTTCAACTTTAAAATATTGGATTCGAATCCTCTCAGTGACAATTCTCCAACTTAAGAGAATTTTTGGGTAAAAATACATTCAACGTCGGTTCATCTGGAACTGACGTGAAAAGTACTTTCTACGTCGGTTGACTAAAAATCGACGTAGAATGTGTCCAACATTCAACTTTCAACGTCGTTTTTTAACCAATTGACGTTGAAAGTGTATTTAACGTCGGCTCAGCTTTAACCGACGTTAAATGACGACTTTGAAATCATATTTTGTAGTAGTGGTAAAAATCCTTCAACTGGCCAACCACATTTAGGATAGTTTCTTTACCATCATGATCCTTATGAAGCCCTCCCATGAAATCCATAAATATGTTAGTCCAAACTTGCGTGAAAATAGGTACTGGTTCTAAAAGTCCTCCAGGAGCCAAAGTACTAGCCTTACTCCTTTGACAAACCTAGCAGTCTACCACATAGTCCTTAATATCAGTTTTCATGTCCACCCAATATATTGTATTCGCCATCCATAATCGAGAATCATACAACTTTTGAAGGAGGATAAGAATTCGGCTAGATTTATAAGGAAACACCTACCTTCTTTTAAAATATAGCCAGCTTTTTTCTTAATTCATTCCCAATGTAATCCTTACTCTTGGTTACCAAATCCTGGTAAATCATATAGAGTAAGGTGTCCTTAATTTTGATTCCCATTTTGGCCATTCCTCACCTTGAACAATTGATATAGCCATAGAAGTACACTGCCTCCATAGAGCATCAACAATTATGTTTTCCTATCAAAGTCACAGCCAATAAGTTTAGTGGCCCATTTAAACTGATCATTACTCAATAATCTCTGCTCATTAATGAACTTAAAACTATGTTGATTTGTGCATATGATGAATCTCCCTCCCGTATAATAATGTTGCCACTACATAACCGCCAACGCAATTGCCATAAGCTACCGTTTATACACTAATTTCAATTGCCCCCTCTCTGACAATGTTTTACTCCAAAAAGCAATAGGCCGCTCCTTCGGTAATAGTACAATGTCTAGCCTAGTGCTAAAGGCATCCGTTTCCACAATAAATTGCTTGAAGAAATTTGGAACAACCAATACAGGTAGTGAGGTCATGCCAGATTATAACTTCTCAAATGCAGTTTGTACAACTTCATTCCATTCAAAACCATATTTCTTGAGAAGGGCCGTTAACGGTTTAGCTATTTTGCAGTAGTTTTTAATGAATCGTCTCTAATGACCCACTAATCCCAAGAATCCGCACAAACTCTTCACATCATCCCATGTCATAGCTTCTAATTTTCTAATTGACCTTCAAATCATGTTGATGCAACTCTTGTAAAATTAACTTCAGATTCTCGTTATAATTAGAGATAATGTGCCTACTCTATATATATTTATTACAATATATTTTCTAGGATTTTAACAAATTTTTTTCCTAATTTCCAACAGAGGTCATATGTCTCACATTCATCTCTAAATATCTCTCTCAAACTTCAATCTTGCAACATAATGCAATCTTTAGTAAAGGTAATCATACAATCAAGTAAATGAGTCGAGTGCCATGTGTACAAAATAGGACATGATAACTAAACTAGCAATTATTTTTTCCTGAAGGAACAAACATATTGAATATAATTCCTTTTTTGTTAGAAAATCCAACGAGGATAACTGGTGTAGGGCATGTGAAGATTGGAGAAAAGTTGCAAACATCTTCACCAAAGCACTCAATAAGCTGTATGGCAAAGAAAGAGACAATAATTGTGTGTACCATGATAAGCGCAGCGTCATATCTACCGGGTAAAATCTCAACATCGTCAACGCCCTTCAGTAACGCCTGAAGCTGAGATGAGACTAGACAATTGGCCACTCCTCAGCAAAACCGAACCACTCAAACCTAAAATATTAACATCGAAGAGGCATCAACAAAACAAGTTAACTGATAAAGCAGTGGATAATAAACTCAACCACTCACTTACATGCGACTTCATTCTACTCCTACAAAAATAAAAACCTTGAATGGGAAAATAGGTCAGCTCGCTCCGTTATAATCCATCCCGCCTCTCGTTCATAAAAAATAATCGTTCATAAAAAATAAGCAGGACTGGCTAGCCCCTCATGATCAAGATGCATTACAGACCTCAATCCATCCCCACCAAAGGATAAGTTGACAGGCCAACTGTAGTTAATAATTTTTTTATATAAAATTTTTATATGTAATTTTTTAATATATCTTTAATTATATAAAGAATTTTTAATTTTTTATTAGATAAATTGAAAAAGTATTATATTTATATGTCAAAATAACTAATTATAATCAATAATTTAAATTTAATTAATTAAATTTTATAATTTAAATTATAATATTATAATATATTTACATATTTTAATAACATAATACACAAAATATAATATTTTAATTACAATTATTTTTATTTTTATTTTAATATATAAATATTTTTTAAAGCGGACTAACAATTTAGCATGTTTCGTCCCACCCTTAACCTATCGAGTTAGCGGCTAGGCGGGTGAGAAAAACAAGTTAGTGGGTTAAAACCACCAACCCGCCCCACCATCTTTTAGGTAGGCTGAGAGTCTAACCCGCTTTGTCTTCCTTAATTGGAGGTGTTAATGCATGCTTGTAATATCATGTTATTCTTATTCTCCAATCCTTTTCCCTTTCGTCTCAAGTTATGGTTATGGAGTTTCACCAATTTTGACTTTTTCCCAATTTCCAAACAATTCAATTTTTTTAGTTCTAAATGTTTATAAACACTAGATGTTAATTTATTAATTAAATATTAATAGGTGTGGATAATAAATAAACAAAAGAAGATTATTTTACTAAAGTTATACTCTTTGATTAAATTTCCTTAAACATTAATAGAATAATAAAAAAATTTTATAAGGTTATTTGTACATAAATTAAATTCTATTGTGAAGAAATTAATGCAAAATCATTTTAATAAATTAATTTATGTTTGGGAAAATTTCATATTATAAAAAAATTTACTTTTTATCTTTTTAAAATAATTTATTGAAAAATTTATTTCAATATAATCTTATTTTTTATTTTAATTCATAAAACATATTACTAAATCTAATTATAGCAAAATGTGTTTATAAAAATGGACACTATAATAAATGAATCAATAGTAAATCTTAAATGAAAATTTATTAAAATATTTGCATAGTTTTATTTAACTTTTTATTATAACGATTTTTATAATGTATATTAATAAAGCAATTATGATTAATATATTAAATATTTTTTTAAAATAAAGTTGTTTATATTGTATGATCTAAGGTTTTAAGAGATTTAAAGTTTGAACATTTAATATGTGTGATATGTGGGTTTTTTTTTATATAGTGACTTGGATATCTATGCATAAATTTTGTTGTTAATCCCATGGGTCAAGCGTGTCTTAACTTTTATTCGTCATAAACGTATTTTGCAGTTTGATGATTATAGACTTTATTATTAAGGTATCATAAGCCATGCTTTACTTAATAATAGGTTGATTCTTATACTAACAAGAAACATAATAATAATAATAAATAGTCTTTCGAACTATAGGCAAAGATAATAAATAATCTTTCGAACTATAGACAGATAATAAATAGTCTTTCGAACTATAAACAAAGATAAAAAGATTAATGATCATTTAACCTAATTCATGTAATAACATTACACAACTTCGAAGTATTGAGATGAAGATGAAGATATTAATACAATGAGGTTAATTATTTTATTGATCAAAGTAATAACACTACACAATACTTCATTCTCAAGATGAAGATGAACGATCAAAGTAATAACATTATACAACTCCTCAATCTCGAGGTAAAGATAAAGAGACTAATAAACGAAGTTGATTATTTGATCAATCAAATTAATAATGCTAGAATATCACTTATGATCACAAATGGAATCATAAAATATCATTTAGGATCACAAATGGGAGCATAGATAATTGCGAATAAGACCACTTAGGATCACAAATGGGATTTATAAAATAGAACCACTTAAGATCATAAATGGGATATAAAAGATTATGAATATGATTAATTGGGATGACAAATGAGATCATATAATATCAAAAATAAATCACATATGGGATCATAGAAGATCACAAATAGAATTACTTAGGATCACAGATGAAATCATAGATCATAAATAAGATCATTTAGGATCACAAATAGAATCCTAAAAGGTCACTAATAGGATAAAAAATGGGAGTATAAAAGATCATATATAGAATCACTAGGATCACAAATGGGATCAATTAAGATTATGAGTAACATAATGACTAATATATTTATGTTAGTTGGTGGATGTTGAAATGTGGAAAATAATTATCCTTATGTAATTAATATAATAACTTCTCCTTTGAAAAACTATTTTGTGTCATACTGTCACATTAGATATCACATCGTTGACATCACAAGAACAAACTAATTAAGTTGTTATGCAACCCACATTAGATATCAATCTTGCATTTCTATTTCCAAAAATAATAAAGGAGAGAGGACATTAAACATTGCATTAAAAGTTAGGGGGTATTATTTAGAGGAGGAGTATGATGTCCTAGAAGGAAAAGATAACATCATAGGTGGGGGTTCAAATGTTTCAAGTCCTGAAGCGAGTTGACACACTTCTAGGAGTCATCAAGCAACATGGAGAGGTTGCCAAAGGCTACTAGTAGTGCGTCGGAGACCTCAAATGTAGACTTAATTTGTGCGATGAAGAGCCACACGATAACGACAAGGCAGTAGTAGTTTTGGTTGGGGTCCTTCCCCCGAGTGTTCTTCACATCGTCAAAGAGTTCGTTATAGAGGTGATGGAGGACCATCTGGGCTATAACAAATTGGGCCTTAACACACTAGGCATCAACTAAGGTCCACATAACCATCTAGGTGCCTAGAGGACCATAGAGGCCGCAACACATCAGGCCTCCCTCTAAATCAGGAATGCAAACATTGTTTGAGGATGCGTGTTGGCATGATTCGAGAGGCTGGTTTAGGCTCACTCCGATAGTTAAAAAGATCTAAAGTTCTTCCAATAAAATATGTTGTCTAAACTACCTAGTCGACTAACGTCTTCATAATAGTGAAGTTGGTCACCTCGATTGTGATTACCATTGGGTCAATTGATAACTTGAAAGTCTTCGTCTATGAATGTTATTGGGGGCATTCTTCATTCCGGGTTAACTACTACAACATTGATCAATTTTACCACCTTTAGGTGCTTTATTTGAGCCAAGTTTGATGATCCTATTGTAGGAAATCCTTCAACTATTGTGCTAACTATGCCTCTTAGATGTTACTGTTTTCATTCCTTGCTATCCTAGTCTCATGTTGGAACTCTCCTTTGTTCTTGTCTAATGTCTTCCCCTTTGAGACTATACATCCTTTCGTGGTTCTTGTCCTTTCTAATCAATTTGCAGAGATGTTTGGATTGTACCAATTCCTCTACTTGTCATTTAATGTAATGCACTCATCCTTTTCATCTTTGTAGTTATGATGGTATTGACAATGTTTGTGACAATCTACATTTGAAGGTGTGGAAACCTTTCATGGTGTTGAAATGAGGTCAATGTACAAAGCTTCTTCCAACACCTTAGCCCTTGTGACATTTAATAGTTTGTAACGCTCGAAGTGTGAGTTGGGAGGTTTGTCTTTAGTGGATATTACTTCCCACCCTTTCCTGACCATGGTTCTTCTCTTTTTAAGTTGTCGACATAAGTTTGGATTTGGTTGTAAAAAAAAAATTAATTCCTTTAATTGCATGAATTTGGATGATGTCACCCTTTATTCATCAATGTTGTTTGCTAGTTTCTTGTAAAGGCTATTTGAGAAGATCTTTAGGTTTAGGGTCATTACTATGTGATGGAATGCTACCTTGGGATTCAAATTTCAAGTGTTTAAGGTTACCTTTTCAAATCTCTTCATGCTTGGAGGGACTCTCCTTTGTCTTGACTTATATTAATCAATGTTATAAAAGTCAAGTAATTTGGTTATTAAGTATTGAAATAATCAATAGAGTTGGTCAAGAGCCTAATAAACAATCTTAATGTTGTCCCTTAAAGGAAAATAGGGAATCTTCCACACAAAAATTGTGTGATAAGTGGTATATAAACCAAATTAGGTTATGTAGACATCTACATGCTCATCAAATTACTAGATCCATTGTATCTCTGGTAAGGTTTTTCTAGATACTTGAAAGAGGTATGCATGATGCCATTAATAAAAGGAGGCCTCCTTCGACCTGTAGTTAATGTTAAATGAGTGGAGGTGTGTGTTTCCGTTCTCAGGTTATTGCCAACCTGTTGCATTTTTGGTAGGGTTAACTTGAAAATAGTTAGGTGCTACTCTAATATATGCATGTTATAATTTTAATACATCCATTTCTTCTGAGCTACACTTCTCGAGGATTTTTAACTCTTTTCCTAACTCCATCAAAATGGTCATCTCACTTGGATGATTTTCTCTCGTGAGATTGTGGACTTCTTTTATTTGTCATTGCGACTATCATGTAGTTTCAAAAGTGTTAGTTAACCCATGATAAATATCAAATTATATTACAAAGTGAATAACTTTTATAAGAATATCATTAGTACTTTCTTCTGTTTCAAAAGTGTAAGTTGATCCATGATGAATGTCAAATTGTATCACAAAGCGAATAACTTTTATAAGACTATCATTCATACTTTCTTTCTGATAAGTCATTTGTAAAAATTACTTCAACTTTCCAATCATAAGAATAATATAATAAATATATAATAATAAATAATGTATATATTTAGATTTTCACTTATTATAATATTATTTTCAATACATCTTATAGGTTTTTTTAAGAATTATCCTAGCTGATCCTTTTATTTGTAATAATTAAGTTAATTTTTTATCTATGTCTATTTTGATAAATATTTATACCCAAAAAATAATTCATGCTTACAATATAATACACATTTAATTTATCTTATTTTAAAACTGATTTTAGTATTTTAATATATGGATTATAATCATTTATAAATTTAATCATATTTATGAATATAAAAAAATCTCCCTCTATATATTTAAATACTCGTATCTCAATGTTAAATAATAATTTATATGATTTTTAAAATATTTATTATAAAAATATCAAATTTATAATACATTATAACTTATTATTTACATGTATAATTTATTCTCTTAAAATATAAGTATACATTTTTAAAAAATTTAAAATATTAAAAATGTAAAATATTTTTTTCTAAATTATAATATGCTATAAGGACATATAGAAACTGGATATGTTATATATAGATTTGTTGAAGTGGTTCAAAATATTATTGTACATTGAACAAAGTGTGTGATAACAACATTTTGAGCGCACAAAATACTGATAAAAAATAATAAACAAGTTATTAAACTAATGCAGTATAGCTAACTCATGTTGAATCTCACAAAGACATAGTTATATGAACATACTCATTATCACATATCATTCTCTCTAAAATAGTAAATAACGAGTAAATAGATGGATGAATGAAAGAGTAAAAAAGAAGTAAAATGATACGAGAATAATAAAAATTAAAATCAAATTACTATAGAATATTAACTGTAGTTAAAATTAAATGGAAGAAGAATTTAACTAACTGAAATTTATAAAATTAAAATAAAGTGATTTTAATTAAAAGTGCAGGAATAAAAAATTATTTTAAAACAATAATGCAGTAATTAAAATTAAATTGATGCAGAATTTAAATAACTGAAATTTATAAAATTGAAATAAAGTGATTAAAAGTGCAAGAATCGAGAATTGCTTTAAAATAAAATAGTGCAAGTAATTAAATTTGAAATTTCGAAAGCGATAACTCTAAAACTAAATTGCGAATTGAAATTGAAAACAAGACAAATTGAAAATGAAATTATGCAATACTTGTAATAAAAAATTTAAATAATTAAATAACAGAAATTAAAATGAGCACTAAATAAATAAAATAACTAGAACAATATAAACTAGAAAATTCAATAGAAATTGCAAATTAAATAAAAGAGATAAACCAAAAGTGTAGTAGTAGTAGATGACTTGCCCAACAAAAAACTAAACTAAGAACTGAGAATAAGAAAAGAAAATGGGGATGAGACAAAATAGCAATTCTCACCCCAGGCTACGAGATTCTGATTGTGGTATAGGGGTTTGAACAAGAGAAATTAAGCATAAAATTAATTACAATAAAATCAAATATTTCTCAAATAAATAATTGCAAAATCTGATTGTTGTGAAGAGAATTTCTGGAACTGATTTGGAGAAAATAATCTGCTTCTTTACTATTTTGAGTGTGTTAGAAAAAGAGGTTGAGATCAAGAGGGGGGTGAATTGATCTTTGAAAGATTTTCGCACTTTCTTGATACATATTATCTATTTCAAAGATTTTGATTTCAGATCACTTTTTGAATTAAGAAAAACAAGAAATTCAATATAGAGCAACAACAGAATTTAAAGAGAGTAAGGTTTAGAGAAATACAACCAAGGTTTATACTAGTTCACCCAAACCCCAGGGTTATATCCAATTCTCCGCCAAATTCCAGCGGAGTTCCACTAGATTGAATGTTTTACAGATTATAATTCCGAATCACACAACACTCAATCTACCACAAGAACCAAATTACAGTTCTTGAACCAACCTGTAACCAAATTTCAGCTACAGAACCAGTGTCCAACAATTCCAGACACTTACAATACAGTAAAGAAATTGAAAAGAACAAAGAGAAGAAACTAGAACAATCAAACCCGAATTATGAAGCTCTTGTAGAATGAGTTTCTTTACAAAAAGAATGCAAAAATGCCTCAAGAAAGAACTTTGAAAAACACCACAAAGGTATATTTTAAAATGTTGATTGATTGATTGCTCAAAGGTATATTTTAAAATGTTGAAGCAATCCTGTTTATATAGAGTTTTATTTCAACTGCTAGTTTAATTAATCTGTTAAAATAGTCTTTTAATCTGTTAAAAATCTTTGATTAATCAGTTAAAACATCTTTTAATCTATTAAAATGTTCTTGATCATTTTCCATATTTATTTTAACTGATGCGACAACATTTCAATCGATTATAACAATTAACAAAAAGTCCCTTAAGTTGTTTTAATTGATTATTTCGCAGTTTAATCAATTAATATTCTGCCAAAACCTTTCACAAAACTTTCTAAGTGATTTTATCTGATAACAACAAGTTTTAATCGATTAAAACACTTAGTAAAACATCCTTTAAGTTGTTTTAATCAATTAATTCCATTTTAAATTGATTAAAATTTTGACAGGAGATCTTTCAAAACATCTCAAGTTATTCTGATCGATTATTTTTGAGATTACATCTATTAAAAAACACTTCAAGTGGTTTTAATCGATTATTCCAAAGTTAAATCGATTAAAATACTGCTAGAACACTTTTCAAAACATCTTAAGTGATTTTAATCGATTATTTCGAATCTATATAAGTTAAAATACTGAAAGAAGGTTTCCAAACACTCTTTTAATGAAAGTAATCGATTATTTTGAAAGTGTATCGATTAAAATAACTCCAGCAAATGTTTTTAAATGATTTTAATCGATTATTTCGAAAACATATCAGTTAAAACTATTTCATAAGAACAAATTAATCGGTTAATACAGTTTTTAACAGATTAAAACGTTTTAGAGGCATGTAGACCCCAAATCTTGCTCGGCCTCATAATAAAGACCAGAAGACCTCTTATTCAAAGATGGACGAAGCCTAAGAAGCCACTAGAAGAGACTATTAGGCCCCATACTAGGATAGGAAAGATTTTCTGCTTGAAAATAAGGATTTTCGCCTTTTAAGGTCGAGACCGCCGTCTCGCTTCTCGGGACCGCCATCTTGCCACTTCTGCAAGTCGAGACTGTCGTCTCGTTTGGTGAGACGGCCGTCTCGCCACTTGCGAATGGCGAGACCCCCTTCCCGGTTGGCGAGATGGCCTTCTCGCCATTTTTGCAAGGCGAGACGGCCGTCCCGAATGGCGAGACGGCCGTCTCGACCTTGTCAGACGAGACGGTCGTCTCGGCCTGACAGACGAGACGGTCGTCTCGACCTTCACCCTCATTTCACACAGTTCTTCCACTTTCTCTCTTGCAACTTCTTCAAATTCTCTTCTTAGAACCCCTCCGAAGCATTTCCGGAGTTTCCGAGAGTTTTTTTAGAATTTTTATAGCGTTTCCGAGAGATTTCCGGCATTGTAAAGAGTGACGGGCTGCCAAAACGCACCCCAATTTTCAAGAGTATCAATATAAAGCTTGCCTCGGAGGTTTCTTCATTCTCCCTCTCTCTCTCTTACTGTCTTTATCTTTATAAATTGCAGTAGGGTCATGTAGTCGTTACTTTAATTCCGTTAATAAAAAGGGTAAAAACGTCTTTTCACAAAGTTTATTTATTAAATAGCTGGCCTATCATAGGGAACCCGAAAGGGGCGTCGTAAGGGAACTAACACTTCCCTTACACGTAACTAACTCCCTTACCCAACTCTGGTTCTAATGACCAAAGTTGGTTTTCCGAAAACAACGCCTTTTTACTCCTTTTTCGATGTTTCCAGTAAAAACATCGGTGGCAACTCCATAAGAACCCTTCAAAATTAGTTCTTGGGTTAGCCCAGTTATCGGACAATCCAAGAACACTTTTTCGAAAACCTTGCCTCTAGGTTCAGTCCGGTTA